AAAAAAAAAAAAAACACGAGAGACATTGTTTGGTTTGGGCAATCCCCACTCTGACACATTAACACACACTTTGTCTGACATAAATAAACTTTGATGCCTGCAAATAGTGCAAGCCAAGCAAGCCCTCCCAACTTTTTTCAATTCATTTTATTTCACCTTTTTCTCTTCAATTAAATTCTACTAATTTCTCACACTTATTATATTTATACCTCTTTTTATTTGGGGAAATTCTACTAGAAAAGCCTAATTTTTAGTAATTGTATTAATTTAAGGTCTGAATTTTTTACTTTTTCAATAGAAGACCTACATTTTAGGTTATTCTTACTTTAAGGCTTACATTTTAGTGAACTTTTCATTATAAGACCCAACTTATTTTATCTTTTCATATAAATATGTAAAACAACTATTATTTGAATAAATTATTATTATTATTATTTTGTAATTTATATTTTTTAGTGAATTCAAAAAATATGCAATGGAAATAGTATTTATATTAATAATATAAATATGTAATAAAACTAAAAAATAATATATATATATATATATATATATATATATATATATATATATATATATATGCAATCTACAAAAATATATCATTTTCAACAAGCATACATAGTATCAACTTTTGCTTCCAAAAAAAAGTTGAAATTAATTTTTATTAAAAAAAATTCTAAAGATATTTATTACTTTTTATTATAAGTATGAAAAATATAAATTACAAAATAATAATAATAATAATAATAATAATAATAATAATAATAATAATAATAATATTTTATTCACATAATAATTGTTTTACATATTTATATGAAAATGTAAAGTTAGTTGGGCCTTATAATGAAAAGTTAACTAAAATGTAAGTCTTAAAGTGAGAATAACCTAAAATGTAAGTCTTCTATTGAAAACTAAAAAAATTCAGGCCTTAAATTAATACAATTACTAAAAGTTAGGCCTTCTAGTAGAATTTTTCCCTTTTTATTTTGCCATAACCTAATATTTTAGCACCTCATTCACTAGCACATAACTACCTTCAAATCTCTCTCTCTCTCTCTCTCTCTCTCTCTCTCTCTCTCTCTCTCTCTCTCAAATAGCTTCATTTTCTTGGCTTAGCAGCTTAAAGAAGAACCCATTTTAACTAGTTTGAACTTGTTCATGCTTCTCAAACAACTAATATATAGAAGTACTTGTGAGTTGCAATAAATAGCATCAACAAATTTAATCCCTAGTTGCCTTCTTCATCATATATTAATATTATCATCTCTTTTTTGTTTTTTTTTTTTTATTTACTTCCAAATCCAATCTAATTTCAATTTTATTTTATTTTATTTTATTTTTTGATTAAACTTCA